GTGAACAAAGATTATAGGATTTACAGAAAGTGTGCAATAACTGTTAAACAAAATTAGGCAGGTGCACAAATTTAGGCATCAGAAAAATAAATTAACTTAATACTTAGTAGATCCTCCTTTTGCAGGAATAATAGCCTCTGAACTCATCCTCCAGCTTCCAATGAGAGTCTGGATTCTGGTTGAAGGTATTTTGGACCATTCTTCTTTACCAAACATCTCTAGTTCATTCAGGTTTGATGGTTTTGTGACACAATTTGTGAGTGGAGAAATGGCTTCCTCTGCATCTCTCTTGCATACAGCATCTCCTTGTGAAAAGTGCATTAAGTCATTTGAGCACCTGGTTCTCCCACACCTCCAAACCCTCAAGACCCCACCCCATCCCCGGACCCCCTGCAGTTTGCCTACAGAGCCATGAGATCCGTAGATGATGCAATCAGCATGGCCCTACACTTCATCTTGCAGCATCTGGGCTCCTCGGGTACCTACACCAGGATCCTGTTCTTGGATTTCAGCTCTGCCTTCAACACAATCCTCCCAGACCTCCTCCAAGACGGCACTTACACACTAGCATCGGCTCCACTCCGCCTGGATTGGATTTTCCTGCGTGCAACTGCACGTCTTTTCAGCCCTCTTCCCATGGCGGTCTGCCTGGAGCCAAACTGGTCCAACCGCCAATTGCGAACTGATTGGCTGGATCAAATGGATTCCTACCATTAGGAGAAGACTCCAATAAAATCAGCCCGCGGGGGCCTCCCACATGTGCAGTTCATCATCATCCTGGATGCTGTGGAGTTAACGAGCCTCTGACTGAAGCCGTTTTTCTCTGTCTCTCACTGCTGGGAGGAGCGCACACACACACTGCTGCCAGACACAGCAAAGCAGGATGCAATACCAGAGTCAGGGGGTCTCCAAAAGCAAGACTGCTCAGGCCACTTTTGTTTAATAATGGGCTCGACACACGGGAGGCGACACCGAGATCAGCAAAATTTGTTGCTGTCACTTTTATTACCTGACACACGGGAGGTGACCCGCAGCAGCGGCAAAGCCGTCTACGCGTTCTGTTCCATGGCGAAATCGAAACGTCCGTTGTTTTGTTTGGCTGTGTCAGGTTGGAGGGAATTAAGGTTATTTAAGCGGTTCAGAGTTAAAAAAGTGGTAGATATGATGTTTCACAAGGTGCTGCTGGAGTTGTGTGAAATCTTACTTCTGATTTTACTATATAAAACATAATAATAATCAACTTCTCCTCCATGTTTGCTCAGAGATGTACGGAGCATCCTGTCCGCTCATTGGTCAGTGAATTGGGCCATTCCCATCTGTACCGGGTCGGCCAGGTAGCGTAGGTTGTTTACATATCTGGGTGGCCTGGTATTTTTCCGGGCCAACCAATGGGCCATTCCCATCTGTACCGGGTCGGCCCGGGCCGGGTAGCGTAGGTTGTTTACATATCTGGGTGGCCTGGTATTTTTCCGGGCCAATCAAGTCTCATTCTCAGCCCTCTTCTCGAGGGGGGTCTGCTTCAGGCCGACCAGGGCCAACACGCCCACTGCTGACAGCAAATTCACACCTTCCATTAGAGCAAGCCTCTGATCGGGCCGACCCGGTACAGATGGGAATGGCCCAAATGAAACCTCCGTTGATTGGTCCTCGTCCGAACGACAGCGATGAAAAGTTGAAAATGTTTCAACTTTCTGGGATCGTGTCGCTGGGTCGCCTGTGCACGACACGTGCACGAGCGCAAAATTTCACACGCACGTTTTTCGCGTTTCGCTTGGTAGGAGGGAGACCCGCGATTATCGCTTTGTCGCGCATGTCTCATTGAAAATGAATGGAGGAGAGGCGATGTCGCCTCCCGTGTGTCGAGACCATTATGGAGACACCGCAGACTTCTCTGCGCTCTTTTGTCCTACCCATGTGCTCGGAGATGCGCTCATGACATCACTAATATCTATTTTTTGCACCAATTTTGGAGAACGTCCATGTGCTCAATCATGTCTGCATTCCTAAGGCAGTGTGGAACGAACGCCGCCAGGTTGGGACGGGTGAAGCAGAGCCCATTCTAGTGTGTAAGTGGCAAAACTGTCCCAGATGAACATGCTCAAACCCATCTGCAGGTGAATCACTGACTTCCTGACAGGAAGCAGCAATTGAGGTTGGGGAAGAATGTCTCAGACCAGCGAACCATCAAAACTGGTTCCCCTCAGGGTTGTGTTCTCTCCCCTCTGCTCTTCTCCCTGTACACCCCGAGTCTGTCAAGCTTATCAAGTTTGCAGATGACATCTCTGTCATTTGACTTATCTTTGACGGGGATGAGTCTTCCTACAGAATGGAGGTAACGGCTCTTGTCGTGGAGCCACCACCACAACTTGGTCTTAAACACCCAGAAGACAGCAGAGGTTGTTGTGGACTTAAGGAAGCAAACAGCCCCACTCCCCTCTATAACCCTGTCTGACACTCCCATCTTGAAGGTGGGCTCATGTTGCTTCCTGGGCATCACCATCACCCAAGACCTCAAGTGGGAGCCCTCCATCATCTCTGTCATAAAAGGCCCAGCAGATGATGTTCTTCCTGAGGAAGTTGAAGAAATTCAACCTACCAGTACAGTCGATGAGACACACTGCAATCATCGAGTCCATCCTCACCTCTTCAATCACCGTGTGGTATGCTGGAGCCACCACCAGGGACAAGAAGAAGCTGCAGTGTGTTGTACGCTCTGCTGAGAAGGTCATTGGCTGCAAACTCCCCTCCATACAGGACCTGTACACCTCCAGGACATTGAGGGTGCAGGTCAGATAACAGCTGACCCGTGTCACCCTGGACAGTCTCTTTCACTCACTCCCATCTGGCAGGAGGCCCCGATCCATTCGGACCAGAACCTCCCTCCACAAGAACAGTTCCTTCCCCTCAGCAGTTGGACTCATGAATGACAATCCTAGGACTGCCCACTCCAGTCGCTTGGTTCCAGTCACATGACCCTGTGTTTATTTTTACCTGAACTGATCCGCACTGATCAGTACCTACACTGTCTTGTATTTAGTAGCCGTTTCTCTAATTATTGTCACATTATATTATTATTTCATCATGATTTTATTCTTACTTCCTATATTTGCTCATCTCTTATTTTTATCTGTTTTTGCACCAAATACCGCAGTAATTTCCTAATGTTGTGATTTCTTGCACAATGGCAATAAAACCCTTCTGATTCTGATTCGAGCCTTAACTTGAACTGTGCCTGTGGTCTTCCATTTCCTAAATATGTTCCAAACTGTGGAAACAAACAGCTGAAATCTCCGAGACAGCTTTCTGTATCCTTCCCCTAAACCGTGATGGTGAACAATCTTAGTTTTCAGCTCATGTGAGAGTTGTCTTGAGACCTCCGTGATGCTACTCCTCAGAGAATATTCAAAAAGGAGAGAAACTTACAATTGGTCCCTTTTAAATAATTTTTCTCATAATTGGATTCGCCTGTATATTGAGGTCAAGGGTCACTGAGCTTCCAAACCAACCGTGAGTTCCAATAATTAGTTCTAAAGGTTTTGGAATCAATAAAATGACAACAGTGCCCAAATGTAAGCACCTGCCTAATATTGTTTAAACAATGATTGCACACTTTCTGTTAATTCTACAAACTTCACATCTCAAATATCACCGTGTGTGCCTCTTATATATTTAACTGACATTTTTTATCATAACAACCAACGATTAAAACGAGAAAATCATGAAGATTAACAAGGCGGTCCAAACTTTCACATCCCACTCTATTCAAGTGACCAGCAGCTGTGAGTTTGTTGTTTCCATCACATGTGGGCTGTTTCTTGGGAGTCTTCTTTGTATGCCCAATGCTGATTCGCACCTATTTAAGAACAATGATTTAAGTGGACATGAATTGTAAATGTAAGAGAAAATATGACACCAACAACAGTCAGATGAAGGTAGAGAGAGTTGATCGTTGTTTGAAGGTAAAGAAAAAAGAGGATTTCTACAAAGGTTACTGGTGGCTTAATTTCAGCAGCGAAATAATGAGAAGTTGAGCTTTCAGCTGAGATGCTCATAGAAACAGCTCTTTATTATTATTATGAGTTTTCAAAACACCACAACCTCTAAAGGGACACACATCTGAAAAACTATAAATTTTCCCTCCCAGTCTCACCTCAGCATGACCGTGTGCTTCAGCACCAACAGCAGCTGGTTCAAATCCAGTCCTGACCACCTACATAGTGTGCAAGTGTGTGCCTAATGCTGATCTCAGGCCAGTTAAACAGACAGTTGCTGTCGCGTTCACCAGCTGGTCTCAAAGCAGACAAAACTCTGAATTGTTCACTCCTAAAAGATCCATCAGAAAAGCTCCACTTTATGATTCAGAATTTATAAAAGAACACCAAATACTTCTGATTTAGTTATAAAAGTAAAAATCTTATTTAAGATCGTTTTTCGTACAGGCTTTAGTTTTTGTGACTACCTGTGCTTTAGACAGAAAACAGTCATCTATCCACTGTTGAGCCTTTATGTACTGAACACTGTCGCCATCAAGTGGTACAAAGACCAAATAACAGATATGCTGCTGAGTTTATTACTTTTAACTGTTTACATTCTTCAGTATGAAACAAATTTAAGGTTTTTAGACAAATTTACTATCTACAAATTAGGATTTGTTTTTCAAAAGTATTATGTTCAAGTAAGCTTAAGGCTTTGATATTTAATTATAAAGTCAGTCTAACTGGAAACTGAGAAAAGGTTTGTCTTTTTACTAAATACCCATCTATTCATCATGAATGACCTACTGTGCTCTCTTCAGCTTTATGTTTTAGGAGAATCATTTGTGTTTTTTTTTTTTACTGGTTGCTGGTCATGCAAGTGAAAACTGAACCTGCTTTAACAAATTGCACACATTTCCTAAATAGAAAGGCACATTTATATTGTAAAAACTTCTATTTTGATTCAATTGTAGTAAAACCAACTATATTTGTGAGATTAATCCTTGTTGGATCAACCATTTCCACTTCAGTTTCTGAGAATTTATTGTAAAAGACGAAATGATACAGAATTTGATGAAAGAGTGAGAAAAACAATGTTATTCTTTTCTTATTTGTCCTTCTCCTTTTGCTCCTTTTCCTTTTTGTCTTTTTCAGCCTTGGCCTCTTCAGCCTCGTGCTTCTTGATGAGCTCCTCCACCTCCTTCTGTTTCAACACCTTGATCTTGGTTTTTCCATCTTCACGTGTCAAGGTGGCGATCTCAACTGAAACAATCAGAACAGAATCATGCTACTGTTGCAACAGGAGGATCTTTTCAACAGTCAAGTGGACCTTTAAGTTTTAACTTGCTTAACTTACTGCTGCACCATCCGAGAGTGCCAAAGAACCTCACCTTTCTCTGCTGACAGCTTGCTGACATCCATGGTTTTGTTGAGGACTTTGATGGCCAACGCCAAAGCAGAAGACAGGGTCATCTCCCCTTCTTTGTAGTCCTGCTTCAACATGGAAACTGCAGCCTGACACCAAAAAGTCAAACAAATCAAACCAAATGATCCAAACTACCATTTTGACTTTACAGCTACTCTGACTTACAGCACTGTTGTTCCCAATACAGGTTGCCTTCCAACCTCCGTAGTTGCCACTGGGGTCACTTTGGTACAGCTGGAAGCCGTAGTGCTTGTCCCACCCCATGTAGAGGAGAGAAACACCAAACGGCCTCTTGCCTGTTCAGACAAACAGCTTATACACACATTCTTGTTTGTAAAGTAATATATACAAGAGCAGAGTGACATGTTCATATGAAAGGAAGCATGTTGATAAACAGTATGAAGCAGAGTAAGGAGGAGTATCTTGCCTCCAAACTGTGTGTAGGCTTGCTTTATGTCACACAGAGCTGTGACCAGCTGCTCACACGGTATGGGCTCTTGGTACTGTAGTAAATACCTGAAAAGGAAAAGATCTCAGTCATGATGACGAACACTTTTCAGATCTGTTCATTTTTTTCCATTTGTGACAGAGGATTCTGTTAACACTCACCTCTGTGCAATTAGCCGCAGCTCATTTGTCAATACATTGGCATCAGATGTGATTCCAGCAACACTACAAGCCATGTCTCTGGAAAGCAGATCAACAAATCAGCCTTAAAAACAAGTAAAAACATAAAAAAAAAAATACTTTCAAAATAATATAAGGTGGTTTAAGCTTCTCACTCATTGAGCTTGTAGATCTTCTCAGAGAAGAAAACTTCATCTAGCAGTTTGTGGATGTTGCGTCTTTCTGCGGCTAACAGCACCCCATCGTTTGCTAGAATCCCCAGACAGGTTCCAGCGTGACCAATTGCTTCCATTGCATACTCCACCTGATAAAGACGTCCTGGAAATTACAGAAAATATTTTGTTTAACATTTGTTTTGTTAAAAAAAGAAAACAATCTAAATGAGCAAGAGTACTTGCATGGGTTTATTAAAACTACTTTTGCTTCCCTATTGAGCCCAAGAACAGATCTAAAGTTAACTTATTTCACTTCAGTTTCACTCATGATGGGCCTTTTCCCTAATTTCATCCCCATCCTATCCAGACACCATACGCCTTTTACTTCCTTTTTATTTTTATTTTTACTGTGTTTTCCCCTCACCACTCCTAGATTGCCTGAGTGGGTGTAACAATTAAAACAATGAAAACATGGTTTACCAGTGAAATATTCGTGCAAATTGGGATTTGAAGGTTTTGCTACAAAATAGTGTAGTTGACATCATGTTTATATTTAAATAAACATGCTCTGCATGCCAAAAAATAGTGAAGTAATCATTTTCTCAGCTATCAGAAATGTGAATGGTCTTTCCGTTTTACAATATAAAAACAACTACTTTTGCATTGCGAAGACTAAAACGTGTCTTAAGAATTACCTTCAGGTGAAAATATGGTTGTCCGAGAGTCATACCTGCGAGACTACGTACAAATAAAATAGATAAAACGACATGAAGCAATCACATAAAAACTGATAAATACATAAAAATCATAGGGCGTATGAAGCACATAATTACCATTTTCTCAGGTCACCTGAGATTTCCTAAATAGAAGCAACACAAGTGTTAGCAGGAGCAATCAAATAGCCAAACATTACAGATATACACGAACAGAGCTATATTGTGACCATTTGAACATTTAGATAAAAATTTCATGAAAGTTAGAGGACCGAAACTTTGATAGCAACGAGGATCAAACACTGATAGCAAGCTGCTGTAGCGCGTTGCTACAGCAGAATGAATCTGCAATATCGTAGCATGCTAACACGTTAGCTTACAGCCTCTCTGTTTCTCATGTCTCTAATTGGGAGTGCGACAAACTGAGACAATATAATAAACAACTTATAATTACACTGAAAAAAAGCAAAATAATGCGTCAAACATTTAAGCATCGATATTCTGTTACCTTAAACCAAAGAGTCTGAAACGGCGTACTTTTGCTTGAGCTACAGGGTTTGCTCTGCTAACACTTTCAGTTTGATATTTCCTCGCTCCTCCACCGGCGTCCGGCAGTGAAGTAGCCGCTCAGCAGCGCCGCCTGTTGGTAGGAGGACTGATAAATCAGAGATTCACCTTTACTGAAAACAAAAACATGGCTGCGCAGTGACGCAGTGCTTACAGTTGTTGCCTTGTAGCAAGAAGGTCCTAAGTTCGCTTCCCGGCCATTTCTGCATGGAGTTTGCATGTTCTCACTGTGCATGCGTGGGTTCTCTCCGGGTACTCCGGCTTCCTTCCACAGTCCAAAAACATGACTGTTAGGTTGATTGGTCTGTCCAAATTGCCCTTAGGTGTGAGTGTGTGTGTGCATGATTATTTGTCCTGTGTCTCTGTGTTGCCCTGCGATGGACTGGGTGTACCCCGCCTGATTGCCCGTTGACACACTGGAGATAGGCACCGGCCCCCCGCGACCCTGCTGGACAAAGCGGGCTCAGAAAATGGATGGATGGATGAAAACAAAAACGTAAATAACATGTTAGCTGAATTTCCAAGACACTTCCTAATTATATGACAAACGCCATACCCTCATTGAAAGCTGTGCTCTACTTGTTTTTTTTTCTCTCTCTCTCTCTCTCTCTCTCTCTCTCTCTCCCTTTTTTTCTTTCTTTTTTTGGTTTACTTAATTTGTATTTACTAATGTCATAGTATATTAACTGCTCATTTTAAATTTAGTTTTTGGATTTAACATTTTCAAAATGCCATGTTTTTTGTAAATTTACTAAATAAAGTTCTTGCAGTGTGAAACAATAGATATACTGTCAGATAGAACATATGTGAGCTATAATGAGTGACCTGGTAAAGGGAACAATTCGAAAAATAGACAAAACAGTTTATTTTAAAGTTGTAAAGCGTTTACTGAAACCTTAAAATTAAATGGTAGAAATTTACATTTTTAACATTAAAACAATGAGAGCAGCATTTAAAAATCGCTTAAATACATTTCTCGTGTTTCCTATTGAAGATTGAAAACAATTACACCCAGTTGGTGGCGCTAATGCAACTATCCGTTTGACAACCGCCAGAAATGAGTAGAAGAAGAACTGTCGCGCGTGATTGGTTGATTAAGCAGCATGGCGTTTGAATGAGAGCAGGAAGTGTAAAGAGGTTATCGTCGTCTGGTGAAACTTCACTAGTCAATCAGTAGTACAGAGTTCCAGACGCCTGTGACCGCGGAGAGTTGACCATACTTATAATCAGGATATGTCTTAGAGATAAAACAAAATTTATCCGGAGAGGTAAGTGCTTATTAATGTTGTTTGATTAAGAAATGCTAATTTTGAGCTAGCTCAGTGTAAGCGAGTACAAGTTAGCCTGGCGTCAGCTGGTGGTAAAATGACACAATTTATTAAAAACGTCGCTGTTTTGCTACCGGTAGGACCCCGCTTTTTAAAAATCCATTTTAGAGTAAAATTGAATGGTTTCCGTTACCGGCTTGGGAGCGTCGTGTTGCCTGGAGTCATTTCTGACATTGTTATCAAGTTTCTGCGTAGAAATGCGACATCAGTGAAACAACTTTTTCTAAAAACATTGTTTTGATTAAAACAAATTAAGATCCGTAATGCTACCTTTAGCCGATCATGACCTTTGAACCACGTTTCACGGGCAACCAGAGATGGTGAAACATTGAAGAAACACTTCCACCAGTGTTGTCACTGACAGATCAAACACCGTCACTCAGATTTAAATAACATGTGCGTTTATGATCATAAACTAATATTATTCAGGTTTATCAGTTTTCCTAATACCACACTCCTTCCTGTCGAACCCCTTTCACTGGCTGTTCTGTTTTTTCTCTTCTGCTGGTGACAAAGTTCTCAGTTCTGATTTAACTCGCAGTAAGTGCTTTATAAATAATGTTTGATTGATTATTTACTCTTTTGTTTTATGCTGTCAGGAGGAAAGAGTCTGATGAAGGGTCACCAACAGCTGGCAGGATGCAGCAGAAAAGGAATATCCAGATCATCGAGTGGGAGGACCTTGACAAAAGGAAGTTCTATTCTTTTGGGATATTCATGACGATGACCATCCGGGCCACGGTCTACCCAGCTACACTGATCCGCACTCGGTTACAGGTACAAAGGGGGAAATCCTTCTACAGTGGCACCTTTGATGCCTTTTTCAAGATTCTGCGGGCGGAGGGCGTCCGAGGCCTCTATCGCGGTTTCATGGTTAACACCTTCACACTCATCTCAGGCCAGGCCTACATAACCACGTATGAGCTGGTTAGGAAGTATGTGTCGCAGTACTCGGAGGATAATACTGTCAAGTCGCTTGTGGCAGGAGGCTCTGCTTCCCTGGTCGCCCAAAGCATCACGGTGCCCATAGATGTTGTGTCTCAGCAGCTTATGATGCAGGGCCAGGGGCAGCATCTCACCCGCTTTCGCCTGACTTCTGACTCTGGAACTGGAAAGCCTAAAAGGTTTTTTGGACAAACCAGGAACATTATGGCCCAGATTTTTGCTGCCGATGGCTTCAGAGGCTTCTACAGGGGATATGTGGCTTCATTACTCACCTACATCCCAAACAGTGCAGTCTGGTGGCCTTTCTATCACTTCTATGCTGGTAGGCACCTGCCTCATGTTTTGTTTCAACAGTTGCTTGAAGCTCAGTCAGTGTAGCTGAGGAAATGTTAAATCGGTTATCAAAAGGATTATCTGAATATTTGAGTAGTGTGGTTATGTGTCCCTCTGTTTTAGCACATGTAGGGAGAATTCAGTGTGCTTATAAAGTATCTGCTGTGTTCAACAGAGCAACTCTCTAAGCTGGCTCCTAGTGACTGCCCTCATCTGATCCTTCAAGCCATGGCTGGACCTTTAGCTGCTGCCACTGCCTCAACTGTCACCAACCCCATGGACGTAGTCAGAGCCAGAGTACAGGTCCGTTCTGTGTTTGTTCCTCTGAGCAGGGTATCCGTAGGTCCTTAAAAAGTCTTAAATTTGCTTTTCCAAATTTAAGGCCTTAAAAATTACTAATAATCCTTAAATACAGTTTCCAAAGGTCTTAAATTACCAAAGACCCAATAAACAAGATTATTTTATTTCAATTTTCATGAATTTCTAGTTAGAGTTCAGCATTTTTTGTGTACGACGTTGGCGTAAGCGGAACCATACACATTCAGTTGGTTATGAAAGGGGGCTTTTTTAGATGAGCACATTAGCTGTTTAAGCTAGTGGGAGATTGCAACATGGGGACGTGCAACTTTTATGGTAACTGGATGGCTAATCCCACGTTCGCAACAGTTCCAGGCAATAGCTGGAAATTATAGTTAAAATTTTATTTTAAAAAATAGCTTAAATTTGGTCAACGTGGCCTTAAAAAGGTCTTAAAAAGTCTTAAATTTGGCTCCCTTAAACCTGCAGATACCCTGTCTGAGGGGAAAACGTGTCTGGAACCTGAATAAAGAATTGTATTTCATTTCTGACTTAATGAGGACATTATAAGCAGTTTGAAGCTTTAAAAAGGATTCGATGTTTAAAATTCTGACATGCATGTGCTGGTTTGTGATTCTAAATGTTGACAATGTGTGTTTAGGTTGAAGGGAGGACCTCGGTCATTGAGACATTCAAACAGCTGATCAAAGAGGAGGGCACGTGGGGACTGACCAAAGGACTGTCGGCACGCATCATTTCCTCCACACCCACCGCCATCGTCATGGTGGTGGGCTATGAGACGCTGAAAAAGCTGAGCTTGCGTCCTGAGCTGGTGGACTCCAGACACTGGTAAACCGTACCTGAGGAGGCAGCAGCACACGTGGACCACGTGCCATTTTTAACCTTCATCTCTTAGTGGGAAAGCACAGGATGAAGGTAGATTTTTGTCTCTGATGTTAAAAGAAGTGTGGGAACATGCAGTTTCTTTAAACCACTTACATTTTCTAACTTAAAAACACACAACAAGGTTTTGTTTGGGTCTGCTGCTGCTTAACAGGTTTGTAGTTGTTTGGTGCAAAAGCAGAGAAGCAAAGTTGTTAAAACAAAAACAAACCTGAGAGCTTCAGTCCTTTGATTTCAGTTATAGATGCTTTGAGCAGAGTGTGTGAACGGCGGCACAGCGACTTTATTTTTATGCCAAACGGGCTTTCGGTGGCCTTTTTAAAAGCTTGTCTTTATTCTGGTGAGTTCTGGACAATCAGCTGCTTGTTTTGATGTTTCAAAGAGCCCAGAGTGAGAATTTATGTATTTTTATGATAAAATCACAAATGTATCTACATCCAATCCATTTAAAATGTAATCAAACTTTTTCTTTTAGTATTCAGATTTATTCTGTAATTGTAGCCATCATGCTGGCTGAAAATGTCAGATTCATTTTGCTGGTGGGAGAGAATGTTAGTATTTCTGTGTAAAACCTGCAGAGTAGTTTAGACGGAGGACAGCAGCAGGACGGTAAATGTTTGAGTGCAATAATACCTGTTGTGTGCATGATGCGAGGAGCTCTGCCTAATGTCCTTCTCTCTAGTCTGTGGGGTTTGTACGTTTTTAGCTCGATAAACACAATTTTCTTCATTTCAGAGTCGCACTGTTTCTCTTTTATAAAAATTACGGCTCATGAAGTTTGCTGCTTTTGTGTGAATATTTAAAATGTTTTAGGGAAGAACATTAAAAAGTGAGAGAGTGAGATTGAAGCTCAGTTTGTAGGAAATGTTTAAGTTTTATATGTAGAGGTGATGCTATCTCTTCACCGGTAAGAATAATAAGCGCGTCTCTGGCTGAGTTGGTTTGTTCCAGGATTAAAACCAGCCCTTTCTGTGGATTATGTTGAAGCACTGTTGAGCTGTGGAGGGGATGAGACTACAGACTCTTGTTATATTTACTGACATTGTCTTTGCACAGCTCTCTGTATCACTAAAGGTGTTGTGATTTTGTGATTAGCCCGCAGTTGTTGATCAGACTTGACACAAACAGGACACCTGTGATTTTGTTACTGTTGTTCGTGTGTCTCCATTTTGGTTTAATCAGTAAAACACGTGAAATGTTTAACAAACTGTTTGTTTTTACTCTAACAGAAAAAGATTTAGCAACCTTTACCCTCTTGTGTTCCTAATGAGGTCCAATGGACCCCAAATTTTTTTTCATTATTGAGGAGGTAGAACCACCTAACCCCTGCCACGACGGCCCCGAGGGATTAACCAACACTGCTCAACCATCCCTTGCCCTGGAGGGGTCACCCAAAAGGACAGTGGGAGGGTTAAGCAGAAAAGTCTGTTCACTTATTTTTTATGGTGTGTGTGTGTGTCACGGAGAGACAGTTTTGCGTTTTTATTGACTGTAGAATTATGGACCTCTATACTGTTTCCCTACGGCGTCCTGCAGCTCCTGGAAAAGTGCAGAGACCTGGGACTAGGTCTATTGCTGGAACGGGAGTAGTGAACAACATTAGAATGGTTACAACCAAGCTGGTGAGTGTTTTTGCTTCCAGATTCTCACCCGATGTCGACGAATTGACTATCTCTGTATCTGAAAGAAAAGCTCGGCCAAGACATTAGCTGTAAAAGGATAATTAAATTCCTTGTAAATGTAATTTTACTTGGCCAATAAATCTGAATCTGAAATCTGAATAGAAACTGTTTATAAACGTTTCAGTTCCTTTAAAGTTTCTGTTGAATGCAATGATGTGAAGGAGATGTACAATCCGGATCTCTGGCCTGAAGGGGCTTTTGTTCGGCGATATTTTGAGCCCAGGTGAGCTGGGCATGACAGAATTGAGCTGAATGACACAAAGGAATGGAGAAATGGAGCTTCTGCGGTGGAAAAATGATAACTTATGAGTTCTGTCTTATAACTGTCGCGGGCTTCGGCTCGGAAACAGTGATAAGAGATAAAGCTCATCGACAGGTCATTGATCACCTTTTAACTGACTGTGATATTCTGTTTGCAAGAGACATTTTTAGTGCAGCAGGACCTCTCAAAGCTGAACCGTAACTTTTAATAATTTATTTTTTGGGGCGGGTGAATATACTACAGATTTTTCCAGCAGTATTGTTAGAGGGAGGATACCTGGGGGTGTCGCAATACTGTGGAAAAAAACGTTGGATAATCGCGTCAAAATTATTTGAATGGGAGTAGAGACTGCGGTCAAGTGAGCCGCACCTACAATTGAAGTGCGCGTTTATACGGTAGTTTACGGTAACGCCCGTCTCGCTGTGGAGCTGAGATGAGCGACAGAATGGGCTGACATCAGAATGACACAGAGCTGCTAAATGTGCCTTTTTGATAAAGGATAGTTATGTTTTAAAAAAAGGACACTAAGCATCCTATACATACATACTAAGTACCTCGAGTACTACCTGGTACCAAAGTATGAACTACTTTTACTGTGTACTTTTTCAGTAATTGTACTTCAAATTACGTACAAAAAGCTCAACGTGCCGTGTTTGAGATGGGATAAAACGGTATTTGGGAAAAAGGACACTAGGCCACCTATACATACATACTAAGTACCTCGAGTACTACCTGGTACCAAAGTATGAACTACTTGTCCTACACACCTACTCTGGACAATGGAGGAAACGGCTGTACAGGAAGTGACGTCACAAACTGGCCCACCAAAATAAGAGTGGGGTAACTTTACAAATGAAACTTCTATAGAACTGAAATAACCGTAACCCTTTCCAACATATAATCTACAGGACAGGTCAGGACCACACTCTGGGGTTTATGGAGGCCTCTGAAGGAGGTAGGGATTTTTCTGCCCTCTGCTGGACCAAAGCTATTACTACAGGCATTGTTCTTAAAGCTATAAACGATACAAAACTCAAATGTGCTTCCTGTGGATTCCTTCAAAATAAATCTTATCACCTAAATTATTCACTATTTAAATTAGAGTAAACAGCATAATTAGTCTAAATAATGGGAAAGCCAGGTCTTCACTTCGACAAAGTACTTTATTAAAACCCAACAAAATCTACTTTAATTATCTGTTATAGCTGGAGTTATTAGCAGTTGGCTACAACAAAGATATTTTTAAGTATTATTAAAATAAGGAGGCTAAATATTCTCTAAAGTGATTAAAAAATACAAAAGTGTAGTACCAGCTTTCAGACACTGGAGAGCAGCAACTCCCCATCTTCCCTGTGTGTGTTGGTTTGTTTGTTGCCAGAGGAAGGTGCAGAGTCCCCGTGGTGCCAAAGCAAAAGTACAGAGCAAGTGTTTCTACTATGTAACTCTTTTAACTTGATAAATGTAACTCCTTCTGTTTCTACTCCTCATCCTTCACGTTAACAATATTCCCAAGGAGACAAAAAGAAAGATTAAAGGGGCATTATGGAAGTTTGACAGCCAAAACATGTATAGAAATAATACATTTCTTCTTCATACATTCTCCTGCAATGCCTTGGTCCTGTAGAATGAGCCCTGGCATTGTAACTGTGGTTGCCTGTTTTTCTGTAAAATTACAGAAAGAGATGCTCGGGTCGAGCAGGCTGCTTCATGAGCGTTCACGCTCAGGCATCGCCGGTAGCATTTGCTATCAGTGGCTTTAGCAGCAGAGAGTGAGGTAGTGCCAACTCAGCGACTTTGTCGCTGTTCCTAACGCCTAGTGATGAACCTAGCTACACTTCCGAGGACCTTTAGCTACTTTCTTCTAGATATTTCCTGCAAATTAGCAACAAAATAGCCATTTTCGCGCCTAACCGTTCTTTGAACGTTGTTTTAGCTGTAATTAAGGATATAAATATTACAGACGCCAAAGACATCATTGGTGCTGTAGCTCACCTGGTTAAATGTTGGACTCTTGTGCAGTAGACCTGGGTTTGATTATGGATGTGAACATAGTTTATTTAACATTTCTTTTTTTACATTAATGGTATATTTTTTTTACAATAAGATGCCCAAATTTTTATTTGAGACTCGCCGAACGGCTTTGAATTCACAGATAAAAAAGATGTGGGTTCAACTTTCATTTTGGAACAATTTTTCAAGCAAGGGAAGGAGTGGTCTGAGCATGCAGGAGGACTGACCCATCTTAAACCTTTGTCAGCTGTGCTGAAGAGAAAGGTACAGAACCAAATTATTTAATTAATTAGCTGCACGTTCTCCTGTCCTCTGTCCTCCGGGCCACACACACACACACACAGTATTTTTGTTAAGGAGTGTGCACGTACAGCATGTGCGCCTCGTGCACGAGGCTACTATTTAAGCTGCCATTATGCTTTTGGCCTGAGGGGGCAATCGCGAGCATAAAAATTCAAAACTCCGTAAAGTCCCTTTAAGAACTTATTTTCATATTTATTTCATTCTAAACATTAAAAAAAACACATGAACATACCAATTCAGTCCATAGTAGAATGAAAGTGAGCAGATAGAAAATAAACTCTTACTGATCACTGGATCTTTTACTAAAGTAATGATTAAAATAGATCAATCTTTTACAAAACAAAAAAAATCATTAGCAAATATGCACCCGCTTTAAACAACTAGAGATTTTTGCTGGCCGTCATCAAAATGAAATTGCAAAAAGGAAGCTTGATGTGATGGAGAACAAAGAGTCGCCTCTGTAAGCTCATTACCTCTTGTTAGCTGCTAACATCAACAGAGAGTTACTAGTATTCATATGTGTGGCAACAACAGGAATGATGGTGATTTTGTTACCTTTAGAGCACGTATGTATGCCGTGTATTTACTCTAATGTTACAAACACTAATGATTTATTTCATCCTACAGTGTTAAAAAGTGCTCCTCTTCAAACTTTTGTTACAAAGAAAAAAGTGACCATTTTAGCTAAATACATTTGTGAATACAAGTCATTTTTGTGTACAATTTATTTTTGGTTTTAGGTGCTTACGTCCATCTGACTGGAGCATTTGCATTAACAGGTTACAAAGTTAATTGAAAGTTGTTTGATCAGCTGTCTTTATTATTAAATGGCACATAACTAGTGCTGGTATATTAGAGCATCCTGCTGCAATAAGCTATACTTTTATACATGACACAATTAGTCAACCAATCATTAACAAAACTGGTGATTAGTCGACCATTAAAATAGTCGTTTGTGGCAGCCCTACTGTCGGCGCTGCAGTATTTGCTTGCAGGAGACACGGCAACCCCACACTGATGGTAAACAGTAGTTACGTCCATCCTTCCTTTGTTTTGAAAGGAGAAAAACTGACCATCCCCACAGTCAGCTGGATATGAAATATGTTCCAGTATATTATAACCTTCCTTCCTAAATCACTGAAACATTAGACGCTTTTGGGATTTTCTCACAGAAAGTCTCACTACAGTCTTACATACTGCACCATTAATAAGAGGGCTAAACCTTAGTCTTCCAAATGGCTAAAAAAGAGCAAATGCGTAGTACCAGATTTCAGATACAGGAGAGCAGAAACTCCCCATCGTCCCTTCTTTTTCTAAACGCAGTTGGAAACCAGAGTTTTGTTGTTTGCCAAAACAGTGTTTGAAATACATTTTTAGAGGAAGTGTTTCTACTACATAACTCTTGTAAAAGTTTATTTAGATTAAGAACAAACAGTAAAAAAAACTGCATTTCTGTTCAGTTACTGGTTAATTTATAATCTTTTAATTTAGTTACTTATAATCTGACATTTGGGTTGATACCCATGTAGCGTCATGAATGTCCTGTTTTTGACCTAAAGGTCATGATCTGCTGTGTCTGCTCGAGCAGAGACATAAAGTCTCTGACAGCCTAATCTACATGAGATAGTGGTCAAGGTCTCTCATGCACTCTGCTCATCTGAACTGCTTTACCAAGCGAAGACAAGAACTATTCTGATAAATACATAATTAACAACTTTGTTATTACCAAAAATAATGTGAGCCCAATGTTCAATCAATCTGTGAAATGACAATGTTATTACTTGATATTATAATCCTGTGATCAGTAGTATTTTACAAGTAATTATAATCCTGGACATTTGCACTAGACACTAATGACACGTAATGCTAAAGCCACACGACACATTTCCTTTTGTCTGACCCAATCAGAACCTTCGCATTCTGGGGCTAGATGTGGATATCTGTGG